TATATATATATATATATATATATATATATATTGCAAGGGAATATGACGTACACATATCTTCCGTGTCAATTAGTTTGTCTGAGTGCTATAGACCTCGCATGGGTTGGAAGCTACAACGTTGTCCAACGTATGTGCGTGTACGTGTACGTATGTGTGTATGTGTGTCTCTGTGGCCTCCACCGACCAGAAGCGTCTTGTTGCCGCCTTGGGTTGTTGCGGTCACTAGCAGCAGCACTGGCCTCTTCAGCATGCTCCCGCTGGCTCTGTTTCTCGTAGGGCTCCTTCGGGCTGCCCTGGCGGAAGCCCGCAGGCAGCGCCATCAAAAGCGACGGGTGGTCTAAGGCCCGTACCGGAAGCACCCCCCAACCAAAGGCATCGCCCAGCAACAGCCGCCGCCTCTCCAGCTGACGACGCCAGCTGCAGGTAAGCAAATGCAAACCAATGAAGCGACGGGCACACTGAAATGGACAGAGGCACACAGTCTCATCAAAAGCAGACAAGAGCAAGAGGCGCGTGGCACGGAGGCACTAAAACTGCTGGGTGTGATGCGTAGACATTTACGCTATAAACATATAATACGCTGAACCGGATTGTTATGAAAAGGATTCCACGGGCCTGGACCACAGAGTATGCACGAGCTAGTGTAACACAGGCAAAAATAAGTAAAACAAAAATGTACAATAAACACGCTCCACCTAAAACGAACGAAGGATCAAGGAGCAAGCACACCCAAAGGCGCATCCAGCCGAAGCCGCTCACCACCTCCAAGCTTTGTACATTGCCTTGCAGACGATCTTTTGCTGCCGCAGGAGAAAGGTGAGCCGTTGTTGCCTCTGCGATATTTGCTGCTGCACTTTTCGCAGGCTGTGGGGGCATTCAGGGACCCCTTGTGGGCCACGTAGGCCCCCCTCCAACAGCCGCAGGTCCCATGTCCACGGTTGCTCCTGGGGACCTCGCTTATATGGAAACGCGAATGCAACAACAACTCCAGGATCCTCGTCCGGGTACGGCATGAGGCTGCTGAAGGTTAGCTGAATGTCTACCGGCGCCCCCTCAGGCTGCTGCTGTTGCTGCTGCTGCTCGCCTGCCGCCGCCAGCAGCGCCACTGCACGTCCCGCAGGAACCCCGTAACGTGGAAACACAGACAGCCACTCATGCAGTTTCTGGAGCCGCGTGAGCTGTTGTTGCTGCTGCTCCTGCTGTTGCTCATTTCCACCATCGGCCGTAGCTGCTGTTGCTGACCCCACTGGGGTGTCTACCTGATTGTTCTTATCTGAGAACACAGCAGTATCGGGGTCCCCAACTGCTGTTGCTGCAGCTGCTGCATCTTCTGCGCTTACGGAATCTACAGCAGACGCCAGCAGGACGAGCTGCTGCATTGATATTCCTCGGCACAAACTCTTTAGCTGCTGCAGCAGATGCTCGAGTGCATGCTGCTGCCGCTGCTGCTGCTGGGTGATGAACTTTAGCGCGTCATCCACTGTCAAAGGAGACCCAGTGTTCCCCTTTGGAACCCCATTCAGATCATCTGAACTCAGCGCAGCTGCTGCTGTTGCTGTATCGGCTGCTTCCCCTGCTGCAGTTGTTGTTTGCCCAGGGACAGCTTCTGCCGTTTCTTCCGTTGATCTTGTCGCAGCTGGGTCGAAAGTAGACGTCGACCGGCGTCCACAAAGCCTCCGCAGCCTCAATATAGGATAAAGCGGTCCCTGGGTGCCCCCGTCGTTCGTTGTAGGTGTGCTCTGGTGTTTGATCCCCTTTTCATATCCAGGTGGCAGCAGCAACTGCGCCTTGCAGCACACTGGCTGCTGCTGCAATTGCTGCAGGAGCTCGTTCGGGAAGAGGTCTCGCCTTAGGAAGAGCACAAGCTGCTCGTTGCATGCAGCAGATACAGAAGTAGCAGCAGTAGAACGGGAAGAGCAACCCTCCTCCTCATCCTCTGCGGGGGCAGGCGGCACCCACATTGGGCCTCTCCGATGCAGCTGATGCTCTCCAGGTAGCCCAAGTCGCCGCAGGCCGGCAATACCAATGGGCTCACCAGCAGCAGGAACGAAAGCCGGTGAAGCGGCAGCAGCAGCAGCAGCGACGGCAGCAGGCTGCGGGACGCGCAGCTCCACAGTGGCAACGCGGCATATCTCCCGCAGCAGCGGAAGCCCAGCAGCAAATGCCTGCGACTGGTTTGCTGCGGCCAAACTATCAAACATGGGGCCCTCAGCGGGTAGCCAGGGAACTCTCCTGACCCCTTCACTTGCTGTGGCTGCTACACCCACTGGAAGCAACGCCTCTGCTGCTGCGGCGGCGGCAGCTGCCGCCTCGGACCCGTTCGCTGCAGCTGTCGCTGCAATTGCAGCTGCCGCCGCCGCCGCAGCAGCAGCCTCTTCTGGGGTGAGGCTGCATTCTGCCTTGGTCTGAGAAGCAGCAAGGCACAACACGTCTAACGGCGGCCGATGTCGCTGTGCTTCCCCCCATTCCCGGGGGGCACCGCGGGCTCCCCTCCTTTTGCCCCTGGGCAGCTGCCGCCCGGCTGACTGCAGCGCCGCCCGCAGCAAAGCTCTACAGGGGTGAGACCAGACTGCTGGTCCGCACGCCACTGAGCCCCCTGCTGCTGCTACATTGGTGCCCTCTAACGTGTCCACACCCTTGAATCCCTCCTCATCTTCCATTTCCACTTCGTCGCCGTGGGACGCCTCTATCTCGCGCTGTTGTTGTTGCTCTTGTTGTTGTTGTTCTTCTTCTTGTTGTCGTTGTTCTTGTTGTTGTTCTTCTTGTTGTTGCTGCTGTAGTTGCTGTTGCTGCTGCTGCTGTTGCCCAGGGTCGTCAGCACCGTCGGGGGCAAACGCAACCGTCGCTGCTGCTGTTGCTGCGGCCTCTCGCTGCAGTGCTGCCACATCCGCATCGACTGCCTCCAATGCCAGGCGCAGCCTCTCCTCTATTCTTCCCAGGGCCTCGACAGCAGCAGGGCGGGTGTCCTCAAGCCCCTGTGGATGCTGCTGCGACTGCTGAGGCTGCTGCAGCTGCCGCAACTGCTGCTGCAAAGTCTGTACAAACTCCCCCATTGCTTCCGCTTCCGCAACTACTACTGCCTCTTCAGGGCCGTGTACACCCCCTGCAGCCATCAGCGCTACCTCCTCTTCCGGCGTAGGCGGAGGTAAACAAGCAACAGTAGCAGCAGCCGCAACAGGGAGGGCGGCGGTGACTCCGCTGCGCACCAAGCTCCCATCTACTGCTGATGGCAACTCAGAGGCTATCCGTGCATCCGTGGTTGCCGTTGCTAATTCTACTGAAGCGGCTACTTCCTGTGGACCTGCAGTTGCCGCTGCTGAGCCTCTTGCTGCAGCTCCTGCTTTTTTCGCGTGGCAACTGCCAACACCAGCAAAAGAAAGAATGTCCCACTGCCAACGCTCTTGCCTATCCGGTACCGCAGACAGCATCAACTGCTCCGCAGTGGTGGTAGTACGTATGCCGGCACGTGATGCTGCAGCTACAGCTGTTGCTGCAACTCCAGCGCAGCAAGCATCAAGTGACTCCTTGGTGCTCTGCTTCTCCGTCGCTGCAATTGCTGGTGTCGCCTTCGCTACTGTTGACGCTGCTGCGGCACCTACGGGCGCCCTCACTTCGTCAATCTCCATATCCGTTGGGTCCTCGGCTTCAGCCGCTGTTGCAAGAGCTGTGGGTGCTGCTACTGCTGTCTCTGCATCGACTGTTGCCCCAACATTAGCTGTTGCAGAATCCGTAGAAGGCTCCGACAACTGGGGATAGACAATCCCCTGGGGTAGACTTCCCGGCTCCACCTTTTGCTGCAGCTGCAGTCCCTGCTGTTTCTGCTGCTGTGGTTCCTGTTCAACCTTAAGTTGCGCCTGCGCATGATTGGACCCGTCACTGTTGATTATGGAGGCTTCTCCGGTGTCCTCAAAAGGCTCCGTAGAATGCAGAGAGGTTGAAATTATGTTAGGCTGTTCCTGCTGTTGCACACTCTGCTGTGAAGTCAGGTGCTCGCTCGTCTGACCAACGTGGGTATCCGGGTTTGCAACAAAATCCGCCAGTTTCGGTTGTTGTTGCCGTTGTTGCTTCTTATTCTGCTGCTGTTGCAGTTCCTGTGCCAGGCGCTGCTGTTGTTGCAGCTTGTGTAAGGCAGCAAGACCTAGCCCTAGGTTTCGGGATCTCACGTCTGGTACATCTGCAGCTGCTGACTCGTCCAAACTTGTGCCTCCTCTGGTGAGACCTGTGCATCCCAACAGACCAGAAACGGTTCCAGAAGCCTCAAAGGCTTGTGCTCCAGGAGGTGACTCGCGCGAGGTCCCAGAGTTGCTGGTAGTGGGCAGCACGGGGACGGTGGGAAGCGAAGGCATCAGCATGTCCACGCTATCATCCTCATCTAGAACAGACTGCATGCGCCTTAGCAGGTCATCTCCATCGGCTGAAACAGCAGCCCCTGCAGGGGATATTGCCGCAGCATTTGCTGCTGCACTAGAAGGGGGTGCCCGTTCATCCGGCGAAGGGCTGAGTTGGTTGGGGCCCCCAATGACCGTCGAGGAGCTCCGGGCTTCTTTCGGAGTTAATGCCTTCTCGCTCTCTAACGGCATCAGGCTGAGACCAGCCTGATGCCGCTGGCGATGTAGCCAGCAGCCCGGTAGCAGATGGGAAGTTTCTGGCTACTATGCCGCTCTTCGCGTCTGCCCTCACGGCCTAGCTGAGCGGTCTGCTCGTCCCTCCGTTAGGAAACTTCTTCTCGTGAAGTTTAATCCCGCCAACGACGAAAGTCCCCTCTCGGACAAACAAAGAAGAAACGTGGCCAGTTCCTCTCGGCATGCACCCATCGGATGCACCCAGGGCCCCATCGGCAACCCTGCAGAGGCTTCTCAAGCAGAATCCTTCTGCATAAGGCTTAGTGAATGCAGAAAACAAGGTTCACGGGATAAACTGAGAAATATCTCCGAGCGTTCATGCAGAAATGCCGGAATGCGGGTGTCTACGCAGCGCAGAAGGTCTCGTGGACGGAATGGAGTAATGGCTCGACAAATAGTTTCACTTCCTGATTAAGTTAAAAGACTTCCGTCCGACTAACAACAAAAGATGGAACTACTAGGCGCTGATAACAGAGCAGTCTCGCAAGGCTTCCCGCATGCAGCTTCCTGGTCTGACGGAGGCTTCCATTGGCGGCAACTCAACAAGGATGCCATCTGAAACTGCAGACAACAGAGTAAATAGTGTGAATTATATAATATTAATTTGAGCACGAGCTTATGAGATCATGGCTTACTCCTGAGACTCGTTTGAATGTGTTCCCTTCGGTTGTGAGCGCTTACCAAACGAGGGTGGGAGATAAATTCCTTCGTATTTCTGCACAGTGTTCACTTTTAATGTTGGAAAGTATAATATAACACTAGGGTCTTTGGGAGCTGTTGGAGGTGGTTTGGAGGCGATCCGCTGGATCCAACATCGAGCATTTCCGGGGCCACAGCGGGGTCTATAGGAGGCAGCGACCGTTGTGAACTGCAGTAGAGTCAAAGTACTTCAGGTGAGGGTTGCCACAAAGTTTTGGCATGCTGTCGAGCTTTCATCTGTGCTGGGGACGATGGCTCTTGAGCGTGAACTCTGTAGCATGGGGTATGGGAGTTGGACCATGTTACTGCATGAGTGCAGGGTCCATACTGAAAGCCAACTAAGTGCTCGACTACTGTCCACAGTTTTATTGCATGCATCGCAACGTTGATTGATTGTGCTTGTATTTTGTGGTTTTCATGTAGCAGGAGCTGCTCCAGATAGTGCTGCAACTTCTGGAAGACCTCCTGATTGCCGTAACATCGGCAAGCCTGTGCGGCGCTGTTCATGCGATTCCTGTAGAATGGATCTTGTCTCCAATGAATATTTCTGGGAACTTATAGTAGTTTTTGAATAAGTGCATCTCAACATATGGGCTAGGATTCCCGCTACAGGCCTAATGCTGATTGGTATTGGCGGCGGCCTTTCGTGAGTCGTAGGGTAGATTAGCGCAACTCGACCTACAACCAAACAGCACGAAGTGGCATATTCAAGGTCACCCCTGATGCACCCTTAAACACAATACGCAACTGCTTAACGCCTAGTATTGAGTAGCCAACCTGCAATCAAGTAGAAGTGCAGGGACAGCAAACTTCAAGCACCCTACAGTGGCAGTTGCTTTGCACCCGCTGCCTATCCGTCATAAAATCTCGATTTTGCTCAACATGCCATCAGAGCTGCTCCATGGTCCAACAAATAAGTACAGACAACAGCCATGGTGGCTGCTGCAATGTATCCCCTGGACGTTCTGTGCGGTCGTTGCCTCGGGACTAAGTACAAGTGTACGGTGGCTCAAGCAGAACGTTTCGATTCTACCAACAGACCCTAAACACTAAATCGCAGAACCTAAGCCATCGAACAACTCCAGACCCTGCACGCCCAATCCTATTATATGGGCAGCCAAGCGTTCACCGAGAGGTCCCCTCTGGTGGCTAGAAGACAAATCTACTGCTTTTACAGGCCAGTAAAAAAAGAACGGTTGGCTTGAGTCCTTTGGAAAATCAGTTCCCTCCTGCCACTGGGCAGTGCTCTTTGGTGGTGCCGTTCAAGAACTTAGGGCACTTTGGTGGTGCCGTTCAAGAATCTACTGGCATATGGTAGCGACTCCGCTGGCTATTCACGGCATTCTTTTCGTGAATTTGGGGACTAACAGTTGCAAAGCGACAGTACTTCGACTGCACGGACAAGGTGGTGTATTCTATGTTCCCGTCCACGGCGACTACATGAGAGTTCCCCTGCAGGAAATAAATGTGGTCAAGCAGCGTCCTCCTCTTCATCTGCTTTCTCCATGCCCTCTGTTACACCCGCTGGCGACTTAAGTTGAAAGAACCGCCAATCTGCGGAAGCTTGGTTAAGGGCGCATCTGTAACCAAGACAACGTAAGGGAAGCAATCAATCCTAACAGCTTGGCTCTCGACTGTAAGCGTTCCACCCTGCAACCCAGAAGGCGTGTGCCATGAATGGCATGTAGAAAGTGATGACAATTGGGGGGAAAGGACCTCAAAATACGCTTACTGCATCTTTAGGTCTCGCAGACGGGTTCGGCACTCCACAAGTTTGTCAACTGTCTGCAGCACACCTCATGCGGCCGAAACCGTGGACATCAAGTACCAAGCATTAACCCCTAAACCTCAAACCCTATAATTTACATTCTGAATGCAGGTAAGGGTCCTTTGCTGCCTCTTTATCAGCAACGTGAAAGAGACTCGGTCGAAACAGAAGAATTTAACGAGGTGTGGGGTTAACAAGTGAGGAAGATGATCGCGGACGAGATAATGCGAAGCGTAAGAGACAGTTATGAGCAATGAGATATAACAAGCCATCAAAAAACAGCTACTAGAAGAAAACGGATGTGAAATGGAAAATTCCTCTATCGAGGCTAAAACAGCTTAGGGGACAAGTAGGAGGTGGGTGCTGCCCTAAACGGTAACACCACAGGGGAAGCAATTCCAATGAGGCAATGAGACAGTTTTAAAAAGATGAGCATGCGGAGGAAAGAGTTGCAAACACGGTATCATGTATCTGAAGCAAAGAAGGGATGATTATACCGAGATATGGCCCAGAAAAACAGAGAAACAGACACGCACACAACGATGCCGCTCAAAAGGAAGGCGGTTGGGTGCCTTGCCTGCTGGTGTAGTTCTTTGAGTTCTGAGAAGTCCAGCTGCAGCAAGGAGTGCATATTCTTAAGCTTTAGGTACTCGCCAGCTGGCACCAGCTTCTCAACAGAGCGCAGAACGCAAACGTCCGCAACCAAGTTCAGCTGAGGGCCACCCTCTAGCCCTAACAAACATGAAGCGCGAAATGTAAATGCTTGCAAGATACCAATCGAGGGTAGAAAGAAATACAAAGGAGCTGCATCCATCTTTGTTATGTTACAGGGTGCCTGCTTGTTCGTGTTTGTACGCAGAGACTGTTTCTTCTTTGTGCCACCGCCGGCGTTGCTTTCACAGTTGGCTTCGTTGCTGTTCGGTCTGTGGAACATTTGACAAGATGCTGTGTGCCAACTGACCTCCGAATGGGTAGATCGCCTCCCCTCTAGCAGTAGCGGCAACCTCGTCTCCAGCCGGTAGCCCAAAACAAGCTTCTGCCCACTCCTCTACTTTGGGCTGACTGGGCTCAGTCTCCCCAAACAGCCACCCGAAGCGATCCAGTGTCTGCAGGCCCGATAACACAAGGAAACGGGGCTCAAATTCCAAGAAATATGCTGGCACGTGCACGAACACGCAAACAGACACATGCAGTCGAGTATATACACAAAATGCCAGGTTGTTTGGAAGCAGGCAAGCCACGCAGAATGCACCCAGTATACAATCTAGCAAGAGAAGGGGAGGAAACGCCATAATCATGTTTTGGAGTGCCTACCTCCAAGCAAGGAAAACGAGCTTACACGCAAACAAGGTTGAAGCTGGAATATCACGAAACAGATATTGGGGGAGAGACGCAAGAATATGTGTAAATGCAAGTGGACATAAGTGAAACCATGTTTGCAAATAAACTGCCAACATCTAGACTGTCAATGGCCACAAGGACGTGGGAGCCCCTTCCGAAGCCGCTGGCCCGCACGGACAGTATCGATGACATTATTTTGTTCCTTTTCATCCTCTTTAATCCAGAAAATCAAGAACCATTATACAGCAAACCACCACCAGTAACACATCTTTCCTTTGCCCTGGTCTGAATAATTCCCTCGAGCTGTGTTTCATCCCTTTTGCCGTACCCCAAATGCTTTGCTAGCATTTTCACACTATGCTGACGAGCAAGGGGCAAGTATTTCGTTTGCCAAGCAGGGCCGTCTTCGGCCTCCACTTTACCCAAAAGGGGAGAAGCAATTCAGAAAGCCAACAGAGGTGAGCGACACTTGGAATGCTCTTGTGTGTGGGGGTTGCATGCGGTGTGCATGGAGTTCCACGTTTTCCACTGCAGGCATGGTTTTCTTACGCATTTTACGAATGCATATACTTCTCTTTGTGACGGATTGACGGTGCAGGCCTTCAGTTGTTGGCCCAACAAAAATGCTCTGTGAGATATATAACTCGACCGTGCCGCAGCTTCCGCCACTTTTATGGCTCTCTGAAGCTCCTCTATTCTGAACAGAAACATACAAAGAGCAACCATATGTCCAAGCCTTGAGTCCTATTAATTCCGTCCTAACCTCAATTTTCTGAATATGTGTAAATTAGCCTGCTTCATTGCTGGGGGAGGGAGGCTCCAACAGCACCCGTTAACTCTTATCTGATCTTTTCTACGAATCAACCTCTCTCGCGGGTCAACCACAAACAGGCCCACGGAGACCCCGATCCCACTACTAACTTCTCGAGCTCTTCTTGTTCCTGCTGCGAAGACCATTTGTAACCCTGTTCGTAAAAGCGGATCTGTGTAAAGGAACAATAGCAGCAATTGAACAATAGCAGCAATAATGGCCTCCCGGTAACACACAGCTACCTTGCCTGCGCTGAACACCCCCACCCCCAGCAGGCATTGGTACAGTCATTATAGGCAGCTGGTGCAACTGTATCAGCAACTCGGATGCACTCTGGATTCTCCAAAGCTCCCTAACGTAAAGCAAGCTTCAAGAGAGGCTACTGGCTGCAGATCGCACTTTGCGCTCGCTGCAAGTTAACCACTTCCTCAACAAGTCGAAGGCGTCACCCATCTCCGCCACTTGGCGAATTAGCCCCACCTCCGCAGACACACAAACAAACACATGTACTGCGTGTGCGTTCGCTGCGATGAGACGACCGACACTAACAACATCACCAGCATCAGCACAAGCAACGGTAACAACAGCACAGAGACGCTAGCCATGTCTCTAAGACAGATGGACAACACACGCAAACTAGTTTGCGTGTGCGACCCCTTTGTTCTCTCCTTTGCTTTGGCTGGGGGGCAGGTCTAGTATCAATGAACTTGGCTGGTGTGCTGGCGCCCTGCGCGCTGCATTTTTGAAGTCTAGGCTCTAGGGTTTTGAAGTCTATGCTCTAGGGTTTGAGTCTAAGTGGTTTAACGTTTGCTGTCTAGGTTTGCTGTATAGGGCATAGGGTCCGGGGGTTTGCCTTTTCTTTGAATTTGTCCTCGAGTTGGTGGAAGTTTTGCGTCAAGGATATATTCTCTTCCCTGCAGCAATTAAACAAATAAACATAACGGGCGAATCTAGGTGGCGACACAAGCACATGAACCAAGCAAAGAGGCAGGCATAGATACTGGCCAGTCTCAAACGCCACCCGCCTTCTTCGCACACACAAGCCGAAGAAAACTAAGGCAGCATCTTCTCCATGATTGCAAGAAGAGAAAATCGCCCCCCAAAGCCCACACAAATGCACGATAAGGCGGTGCAGCTTCTGGAGCCGGGGTGTGGGATGTAAATCTACTTTTGCTGCTTCTGCTAGGAGCCCCTCAGCAGCTTCTCGATGCGGTTGTGGGTCCCCTCCCGTGAGTACTGCACTTGCTGGAGGCCATGCGATCAGCGCACTGCAGCGCTGGAGATGAGATGGAAATGGGCGTTGTATGTGAAGCGTGGTGCACTTGCCTGAGACGCTTATTCTCGATCACTGCCCTCTGGTTGGCGGCTCGGAGGCGGTTCATCACGAGGGCAAAACGGGATGGGTTATCTTTTGCGTCCTCCAAGTCCTCCAAAATGTCTGACACGCGACAGTTGAGGCGGCTGTTCTCCGTTGCCAACTGCTGTGCCCTTTGGTGGGAGGCTCCCAACGCCTCACGAAGTTCCACAACCTCCGCCTGAAGGCGTTTGCAGCCTGGGCAGTAAAAGCCGCATCGGCACAAGACTCGCAGCACAGCCAACTACACTCACTGTATAGACACTGAAGAGCTCGCTCTGCAAATTGCCACAGCACGATTCTATGGGTTCTCGCATTGGCAGCAGCATACCACACGCCTCTACAGCAACATGACACCACAACAGGCCCCGCTTATGCATACGTGTGCATAAAGGCGTGTGCATCCACATCTGTCGAGGCAAGCGTGGGGGAAACAAACCACTGACAGTGAGGGAACAAAGTGGAGAAAACAAGAAGACAATAAATACACCAAATAAACGTCTAAGAAAAGAGTGGACAAAGGAAATGGGCGCAGACAAAAGGAGAGAAAAATGGGGATGCCTGTACCCGCCAGCTGCGTGGCGAGCTCATTCTGAAGGAAGGACACCTCGTGCATCTTCTGATCCACAAATTCCGCTGCCGCCTTCTCAGTCACCTCTCCAGTCGCTTGAAGCCGCTGGTTACGTTGTTGTAGACGCTCTATTTCCAGCTGCAAATTCACAACACGTTGAGCAACACCAGCAGTAGCAGGGGCAGCACCGAAGCAGTGCACCGCGGAGACACCAGCAGTAGCCGTCGCTACAGTCTAATTTGAAGTAACAAAGGCAAACAGCGTTTCTGCTGGAGCTGTTCGGGATGAGGGTCTATAGACAGTGGAGGTGGTGAATGACTGTGTGAGCAGGGAATGGCAGCGAGGTGTGAATGCAGCTGAAAGCAAAGTGGGGAAAGGGGGGATGATGTGGGGACGAGTTGTGCCCAGAGGCTTTTGTATCCCACAAGGAGTGTTTGCTTGGACCCTTCTGTCTCCCTCAGGGCAATCTCCTGCTGCTTGGCTATTAGCGCTGTAGCCTCTTTCTCCCTCGACGCGGCAGCCCTTTCTCGCTGCAGCAGCTGCTGCAGCTCACGGACCTGCTTCTGCAAGGCCGCTGCTTTGCAGCCTTCACACGTGTCTTTCCATGCAGCAGCAACACGCGATGACTCAAGCAGCATCACAAGAGGCCTCACATACCGTCCGTACACCCCATCGTGACGGCTGCTTCCCACCAGGACAGCACCTTGCTTCAGCCGGTCCCCTTCTCCCTCGGTTAGAGGCAAATCTGGCACAATCTGCCACATGCATATACACAAAGCTCATAAGCAGAAGCTGATTTGTACGCGTGAAAGTGCGCGCGCACGCTATTACAACAGCTGTTCTAGAAAACAGTTCCTTGATGCAGCGGATTCAAGTGATACGCACCCCCATAACAAGAGCTCGAGTGGGGGAAACGCTTTGGAAAACGAAATCTTCAAGTAGATACGCCCCCTCAAAGGCTGCCTCTGCGTGCGGCGCATAGAAGAGGATGTTACCCTTCACCTCGCAGTACCGGCGCAGCCACTGCTGGCCCGGGATGCTGCACGAGTAAGTATGCCCACGTGAACCTGCCCCTCCCCCAAAGGCCCTCCCATTGCTCTCCACCGCAGGGGACTGGCATGGGCTCAATAAGAGCAAGGCGAAGCCGCTGCGGACCGAGGGAGTATCTAACTGTCGGGCAAATACAGAGAAGGCCTCCCTGTCCAACCAGAAGTCATCTCTGTCCTCAAACCGCACATTGTCGTTCAGCCTTGCACTCTTCTCTAGCGGTGTAGGAGCCGAGGGGACGGAGGTGCCCTTGGGCTTTGACATCAGAGCCAGCCATTGAGCGCCGCCCACCCGGCTGCAGGGTTTTCGGCGAAAGAGGTCGGGTGACTTTGTCGCTCTTATTTCGAAGGCAGAAAAAACTTCTATTCATTCCATTTCCTTTTATTTAGCCTGAGACACCGCGGGCAGCCTCCAGCATGCTCAAGGGCCCGCCCTGCGTTCCACACCACTGGACCGCTACACCACGAAGTGAGAAAACGCGGCTCGTCTTGCGCCTTTCTGCGCAGGTGAAGATGGCAATATCCCCTTCAGAACAAACTACAAGATATACTCCATGCAATTAAATATTTCGGGGCCCTCCTATTGCCAGGAAAGCACTTAAGGGCCTCAGGGCCGCTCGAGCACTGGGGCCCACCCGGCATCGCCGAGTGTAGTGCGCAAGCACTACAATGCGTCTTAGGCGTGCACTGCAGTAGCCTAAGGCCAGGAGCGGGCATAAATAGTATAAGATATTTTAGGAATTAGGACCTTATTAGTTAACAAAGGAATTAATACTCCTAAATATTCCAGGGATAAGGGTATCGTTAGGCAGACATAGCTTAGTGAGCTAGCCACCGCGCCACCCTGAGCGACGCAGTACTTAGACCCTACGGAGGCTCAATGGTTTGACGTCTAGAGACGTAATAAATGGAAAAGAAACTAACATGATTAAATATGCCTATAATATAGGCACCTTTACATAGAGAAGCAACCTAATCAGGAGACAAAAGGGGGCCGGCCAGCCGCACAGCCCGAACCTACGGCCATCTGCTTAGGCACCCCGCTTTTGGGGAATGCTGGGCGCTTTGCCAAGGCAAGGGCTTGCTCTCGCCCCGCATTTTGGAGGACGGGCATCATATATGCTTTCCGGTGGACCAGACCTATCTATCCAGGGGGACTGGCCTGGATATAACCAGAGACGTGATCATGTTTTGGCAATTTCAGTGAATATAGGGAACCAGAGTGGACTGACAATGAAGATTAGTAACCTGTAGCCGTGGGATGTCATAGGTAGGCACAGCGTGGGGACCGCTGCTCACTACACCGATCGTCTGTAGCTCAGAGCACAACAGTAGTGTTTGGCTATCACTAGGTAGAAATACAGGAGGATGTAGTGCGTTGTCCTAGTTGAAGGCCTTATTTCGTGGTTTGGCTGCGATGTCAACGTCTACGAAGATAACGCCCGCGCCATCAGGAGTGCGTACAACTGTCTGCACAGACAAACTAACATACAAGTGCGTAAACTGGAGGCAAATGTAGACTTTCCTGGTTCCCGCATACACACTTATTTCCCCAGACCAGTAGGTGACCTAAGGACAATCCAGCTTTTTCCTTGGTAATGTGGTGCCAACCCCACAATCCACAAGTTGGCTCGGCTGTTTGACTCCAACCCGAAAGTTCAAGAGTAAGCCTACATAATCACTACTTTTTCGTAGTCCCTCCCGTTGCACAAACTGTGTGGTAGACAGATCAGTATGGTACATGCTGTCTCCACAAGACTCACAAACCATGATCGTCCTGAAAACTGGTACATGTACGCACAGTATTAAATCCAACCCTCCACAACTACTGTGTGTCAATAATATGTGTTCATTATCGGGCATATCTAAGCTGCCCTCTATCCGCCAAGTAGCAGCATGAGACGCAGCATCCTCCAGAGGGCACATTCGTTCGTCGTTTGTTTTTTCGGTTGGTTGGCACCACTTCTTCGGTTTGTAAGTTTCTGCTCGTCCGGGTATCTGGTTTGTATCCGCTACCCCCAAATGAGCTTTTTTGTTACAATAAAACTGTTGTTACCGCCGCTGCAGCTGTCTAGGCAACGTCCCCGTTCGGGACTTAACTCCCCAGCCCGAACGTTACGTAGGAAACAAGATACGTGTGGCTTCCTGGGCGACGTTGGGGTTCGCTGCTAGGTAGTTAAATATGATGAACGAAACATGGTGTCCAAATGCATGCCTTGGGGTCTAGTGGCTTTGGGGAATTCTGTCGGCTCTCTCTTCGCAACAGCAAATGGTTTGTGTCTTTTAGCCACATGAGGACGACGACTCGTTGAGTGCATATACGGAGCAAGATTCAAATCACAGCAAACCTAGAAAACATATCAAGGAAAAGCCCTCCCTGTTGGTCTATTGTTCGTCTCGAGCAGCCCGCAAACGCACCAAAGACAGCCGCATGCCAGGCCACAACTACACTGCTTCAATGCTCACGCCTACAGAGAATGCATATACGTGTGCATTTGCAGATGCATGTGCAAATACGTGTATCATTCCCACCTTATACGCAAAAGCACGTGCATTTTGTACTTGATGCTTGAATACTAGAAGGATATTCAAGACATGAATGTACATGCATAAACAAAATGGCGTACGGGTGCTTTCACCATGCGCAGGTATCATCCTACGCCATACATGCACTCGGCCCTGAAAAGTCTACAAGGAATGTGCAGACAGAACCCAAGAACGAAAAACTTAAACCAGAATATCAAAACATAGGGCCACAAGCCTCACGCCTAAGCCGAAAACCCGGAACATGAAGCCCTAGCCACCCCAACCCGATCCTCCCCAGTTTATCTTGGCGTTAGAGAAGTCCAGCTCAGGGTGCGCCTGCTTAAACTTCTCCAACATTTCCGCCTGCCTCTGCTGGTCACTCGTGGGTAGTCCCTTCTGCTTTTGCTGTTGATCATACATCATCTTCTCCACTGTGGCGCGAGTCTCGGGGTCCAAGTCGGATAGCTTCGAGTTCTTCACAAGTGCACATCCACACAAAAAAACGATTACCTGAACCTTACGCCGTAAATTGTAAGCCTTACAAGCACACTTCAAGGCCGTGCAGCTTCCTCCCCGTGTACACGCGTACAGGAACAAAAATGTAAGTTTTCGAGGTCCTTGCAGCCACACAGTTACCCGTCTCAAGTCTGCTGGTGCTCAGCAACGTGGCGTATTTTGTAATATGTGAAGATATTAATGCTGGGGTCGGCATCGATATATTCTGTACCCTGCTTGCTGTTGGTTCTTGCATACCCAAGCATGTAAGTAGAAAGTGTACGTTTCAGTATGCATGGATATATTTGTGCGGATTGACTACTTTAACAGGTACTCTTGCTGCTACAGTATCATAACCAAAATGCATTATGCGTACCACTCAGACTCACTTTTATACGTTTGTGCATGTAAGGCGATGCATATGTATGTAAATACAGACTTAAAGCCTACTCAGAGAATGCATGTGTTCGCTGACTGAAAAGGCTAATGACTGTGTTCTCGAGTACCTCTGGGACAATCGTCTTCGTATCGATCTCGGGGTCTCCTTTCAAGACACAACTCCACCAACGCATTTTGTCTGTTTTCTCCAAACTAAGGTGGAGAGTCTTTCGGTCTTCCAAAGTCCACATGCTGTCCTCTGCCTGCACTCTTTGAGAGAATTCCCCACCTAAACACAGCAAAACCAGCCAGTAGACGAACGAGAGGAGTCTTTAGCAGGACACCAAACAACTGGAGACTTGCAATATTCTTCTGTCTAAAAAAAACGAAAAAACGTGGCACTCATCGAACAGCTGCAGTACAAAATACTTCTTGTGTAGCCAAATCCAGAGGAACATATTCCGAACGGATGGGGAGAGTGGGAAATCGACGAGAAGGAAGCAAGGGAGAGGAAGGGACCAAAGGGGGGACACAGGGGCAAATGGCCCTCCCAGGGATCAAGCGAGATGCACAGGCGACAAAGCGCAGAAGAAAGCCAACAACAAGCAGTATGAGACGCCGTGCAGCAAGCCAGTACACGGCCAAAGCAAATCGAAGTACGCAAAGAGACATCACTACGCTGTCTTCTTCTCACTCAATATAGGGGCTTGCCCTTTGAAGCCCAACGTGAGCGTGGTGGCGGTAATCTTGACTTGACACTGCGACGCCCGCACGCCCTCGCCCATAGGCACGTACACGTCCACAGACTCTAGGGTTTGGGTCCACCGATACCTGATGATAAACAGCGCATCGAGAAGAGGAAAGCAAAAACGAGCTAAACATACGACTAAAACGAGAACAAGCAAAGAACAAGAACTGCTCAGACACGCACTCAAGTGCTGCAACATGCTGTCTTCACACGCGGCGACAACAAGCACAATCTAGAAGAACCCGCATTCCAAACAAACGCCAATGACCACAGCACGCACACATAGATACGAGCAAAATGAAAAAAATGAATGAACAATTTACGGCTGGCTCACTTGTCTGTCTGGCCCCCGTTCCCCTCCGGACGGGAACTCTCCCTCTCCTCATCTGAAGTAGATCCCTCCTCTCCTGTTGATTTGCTGCTGGCCGTTGCATCAGCTGCTGCTATTGCTGCCTTCTCAGCAGGGGCGAACAGGGCTTCCTCTTCTTCGGTCAACTCCTCGACCTTCGGGCGACTGCTGAGGTCCACTTGTTGCTGTCTCTTTTGCTGCTTCTGTTGCTGTTGTTGTTGCTGCTGCTGCTTCTGCTGCTGCTTCTCCCGTTGTAGACGATCTCTCTCAGCTTTTTCGGTGGCCTTCTCTGTCCACTTGCGGAAGGACGTGTCCAGCATGTCCTTGCATGCAGCGCGGCCCACAGTAAAAAAGTCAGTCTTCCGACATAGAAATCCGAAGAAATAATCGAAAAGAGGTTCAATTCCTCCCGCCTGCTCAGCAACTGTTGCAAACAAGCCGTCAAAGCGGTTGTCCTCACCGCTGTCGCCTGCCGCAGACCCCATGATGCCTGCTAGGTTAAGTGCCTGCGGAGCACCGCCGTAGAGAAGACCAGTTCTTACTTCTCACTGCTAAATACACACTAAAAAATAGAGCTTGTAATTGTTGCACCGACAAAACACGTTGGGGTCACACGCAGTCCCCCGTCCTGGTGGGGCTGTGCAGTGTAGTGCACAGGCACTACATGGTCCACAGTTGCGGTAGCCAGCGAGTAAGATAGAGTGAGCACAGCAGCCTATCAGAGACCTGAGGTTACCTAGGCTTAAATATAGATGGAATTCGCTAGTATTAGTAGGTTTAGGAGCATATTAGAGGTGTAGCAGTTTATTTGGTGCTGGGGCTGAGCACCCCGCCGCAGAGCTATGCGCGCTGGGGCATAGAAGGTAAGTGACATAGTTAGGTCATGTTTGGCTCTGTGTATTCAATTAAGGATAGAGGTCTTGTGAGTTAGAATGAAATTGGCACATTTAGGAGCAGAGTTAGTCCGAAAGAGTCGGGCCATGCCTGCGGTCCGACCGTAGCCCCCGGTGCCGGGATGGACGGCAGGGTGTAACCCGCACCTGGCGGGAACGAACACACACTCATGATGGAAGGCGATTTGGATCGATCCTTCCTTCGAAAGTTCCGTAATTTAGGGACTTTCCCTGGGAATACTGAGAGTTAGGGTATTTGGACACGCGTTCTGTAGATCTAGTACATTCAGGGGCCTATAGGCCTATCGGGGTGATACGTAGCCACGGTAAACGGCCACCGTGCGTTACATTTACCCCCCAGTCACCCATACCGGCAGTGTAGCGCAATGCTTAGTCACTCCTTGGGTGCCAGTTAGGTCTTTTATAGTTCTACATGGAAAAAGCATAGAATTATTAATATATATAAAGTCTGTGAATATGACATTTTGGTGGATTGGAGTTATAGGGCAGACTCCTGACTGTGTCGTCGCTCTTGGTATCTCCCCGCCATCTTATAGGTTGGGCACTGACCCCCAGTGAAGACCGGGGTCAGTTCCGAACACACAGTCCTTTTATTCTATGAACTCCCCTTGTTAATAGTAGTGACTTACATGGTTTGATACTTGCAACATAGACTTCTGGGGATTTGGGTAGTTAGAGGTTGTACTTAGCCCGGCACTACGAGATGCTACTCTAGCAGTGTTATCTCGGTTCGCTTTCATTCTTCTATTCGTGAACCGCACGTCTAAGGGTACTCCGACTACTGCAACTATATATTCGCTGCTGCCAGTAATACAACTGCAGCTGTCACCTACACAGCACCAGCTCAACCCAGCAGCTGCAGTTTCCACTGGAGCAGCTGGAGTTCCAACGCGGCAGCAGCATAGCTGCATTCTAACGTCACCTTCCTCTACTTTGGCAAAAACTGCCACGCCCACGTCCTCATCACTTCTCGAAGTTGCTGTCCATCTGTCTGCCCCAGAGCCTGCAGGACATATGCATGCATGCACGCCACAGATGCATGCATGCACAAAAAACGAAGCATGCATCCATGGAGACAACGCAATGATGCAAGAAGAGATGTGCCGACAGGGCATGTGTTAGACCTGTAGCATAAGCTCATTTCTTCTTGGAGCCGTGAAGAACAGCCACAAATGGCAGCAGATAGTACTCTGTGTTGCGACCCTCGTGAAAACAGATCCTGCATGCTCACCTCTATAAGAGCAGCGGCAGCAGTAGCAGCCGCATCAGAATCGCCAATGCGCTCAGCAAGCCCGTCCTTCAGCGCTTCCTGCAGGCCGCTGCGTAGCGGGGTGAAAAAGGAAACAAACTGGGCTGCTGCGGCTGTGGCTGCTGCTGCGGCTGCTGCGCTTGCTGTGCGCTGAGGACTCCCCGGAGGAATTCCGTATCCACAGACTCGCCATAGGCTCCCGATGTCGGTCGCGAGCTACAAATTGGCACCACACAAGGTACTAACCGAATGCATATGAGATCAGAAGTAGGAAAGGTAAATCAGCAACACATGTGATATAAGAAATGGAAGCACAAATCAACGTGGGAGACGAACGGGACAAGGACACGACAAAGGCTGAAACAGGCGAAATCAAATGGGGGGTACAACAAAAACACGACAGAGAGAAGACAGACGCTCGAGTAGAGACAAGGGCACAGGAAAATTGGCACAAAACAAAGGAAATATGCCATCGAGCATTGAAAAAACAAACCGCCGCTAATGCACTGGATGGAGCAGCAAATGAAATATCGCTGACACCTTGAACCGGCCACGCACCACACTTCTGCAGCCAGAAAAGCAGCAGCGTACCTTGACGTGCTGGGGATCGTCGTTTTTTAGCGACGCCAAAAGACGGGCAGTTACGGAAAAGAGAGGAGGTAGCGGGAGAACCAGCGACAGTTGCTGCCCCGCCTGCGGCAAGTGAATCCCCTGTACACGCTGCTGCTGCTGCTGCCGTAGCAGCTGCATTTCTTCACTTTGTTGTATTTGTAGTGGTTGTTGCTGCGTCTGCACAGGGCCACCTTGGGAACGCCGCTGTCGCAACTGCACCTCAAGGGCTGCATTTTGCCTGTTGAAGTCCCTCATTGCCTCCTGAAGCTGCTGCAGCTCGAAAGGAAGCCGTGCGACTTGCTGCAACTGCTGCTGCTGTTGCTGTTCCAGGTGCTGCTCTGTTTCCACGCAGCTATCAGATTTGCATACAAGGGCGGCCACAAGGTGCGCCCACGCCTGCGCCGCTGCTGCTGCTGCTGTCGGGGAGCCTCCAGGGTAGCAGCAGAGTAGTAGCAACAGCAGTATGCACCTCCATGTAACGCTGGCAATTTCCAGAGGGGCAGGGGTTCCCTCAGGAACCCTCGATGTCACCGCTGCTGCCCCACGGGCGGCATGTGATGAGCCGAAAAGCCTCACATGCAGCAGCTGCTGCTGTTGGTGTAGCAGCTGCAGCAATGCATGCTGCTGTCTACCCACCCAATTTCCATCTGGGATTGCAGTGTTGTCCCCTTCGAGGCACTGCGCAACCGCACTGACGAAACAGGAGGCGCCATTGCTGCTGCTGCTTCCGTCGCCGCTGTTGTTGCTACTGCTTTCAGCGTCAAGCAGCGAAGCAGCCGCAAAGCGCAGAAGAGATTCCGGGGTTTCCCTGGCCGCCGTCGCAAGCACAAAGGCCAACTGCTCCTGCACCCCCCGGCACTCTCGTTGCAACTCAGCAGAATTGGGTTCTTGAGACGCTGCAGCAACGGCCTTCATGTAAAGGCTCAGGTGTCTCTCCAGCACCCTGAAAAAACCGAACGAAGGCATAATGACCCAGTAATTAACGCTGGTACCCAACCTTTTGCACCAGACCACATGGGAGGCAGCAGTACAACTAAACTTCTGCTCACAGAATGACAAGCTGCAGCCACCAACGGCGGTGCGGCGCCAGCAAGTGGTCAGAGCGTGGTGACATACAAAGGGAAATGCTGCAATAGCAAAAAGAGCAGAGGAGGCCCTTTTAACGACACAAATAGTTGCATGAAGAAGCCGCTGAGCAGTTCGGCGGCGAGTTCTGGGGAGTGCTGCTGCTGCTCCAGGGTGCCTGCTGCTGTACTGTTGGCTTCCACAAGTACAGCATCAAACAGCAGTGGGACCAGAACTCCAATGGAAGAGGCCGCGAGGGGCCCCAACAAGGACAGAAGCCTCCGCAACAGGAAAACGCATGCATGTAGGAAGGGAGGGAGCAGCACCAGGCTAGTGCCTCCAACCTCTAAAGGGCTCCGCTCTGCGCACGCCACCTGTAAGCGAAACACACTGCAGACGCACCGCGCTATCCGCGTCAGCAGCAGCTCATGCTGAATGGAGACCACAGGAGTCGGAGATATCCACAGGCGCACAATGAGACACGACAGAAATTACAAGACGCACTTGAAGCCAGAAGTTACACGTCGACAACCTGTCTATTGAATCGGAAGACCTACGCGAATATCTCAAACCCATACACTAAGGGCTAAACAGTAAGCACAAAACCATGGCATACACCCTCAACCCATGCCCGAATCCTACACCCAGACGTATCACCAGCTTACGCGCACGGCGTCAGTGAAGAGCTGTAGCGCGTGGAGCCATGACTTCTTGAGCTCCCCAAGCACGAAGGCATCTGCTTCGGTCTCTGAACTGCACACGGCCCCCACACCCACTCGAGGGCTCCCATGTGGTTTGAAGGGCTGAAAGCCCTTTGAAAGAGAAGCCAGCGCGTTAGCGCAGCGCGAACAGTACACTGCCACAGACGAAGCTGTGTCCCCCGCTGAAGGCTGCAGCGTCACCCAAACAAAATATCAAAATATTGACTATATCTTAAGATGGCGTTAAACAAACAGACGCGAAGAAGCGAAAGGAGAGCTGCAAAGAGGCCTTAGAAAGCCAAATTTTGGGGAGAGGCTAGAAATGCACGGCTTAATCGTCAGCGAGTTCCAACACGCTTCTTGTGGCAGCTCGCAGCAACCCTGCTGCACCAGGCTGGTTTCCTAAGGCATAGCAGTCCGAGAGCCCTGCATATCATGCAGATCTGGCGTAATGGGACTTACAGTCTCGGAAGTGAAGGCCGCCGTGGCTTTCGCCAACAATGCATGTAGCAGCATGACGTGTTCTTCCGAGGAGCTCGCGGACCGACCATACAGGTGTTGCTTGCAGCCCAGAAGGACACCCGCCGCCTCGAACAGCAAAAGTTGCTGTTCCACCTGGAACGCCCTTGGGAGGACATAAACATCGGCTGCTGCTGCCAGCACCCTGGGCTCCTGTCTGCTGCTGTTGCCGCAACTGGGCGACACTGCAGACCGTATGCGTTGCTGCCGAAGGTCGTCGTTGTTGTTGCTGTTTCGAGGGATATCAAGGCACTGCTGCTGCAGCAAATGCCGCAGCAACAGGCCAGTGTAGGCAGCGGATGACGGCAAACAGTTTTTGACGAACCGCAACAACGCTAGGCACGCCCTGGGGGCGACGGTGGTGCTGCTGCTGCACACTCCATGAGGTCCTGCCAGCAGCGACAGCGCCTCTGGGATGTGTTGCTGCTGGTCTTGCTTGCTGAGAAGCGGTGCAATGCGCACAAGAACCCTCATGAAGTTCTCCGCTGCCGTCCCGCAAGAAAATGCCTCACATGAGTGCATGCAGTGCAGCAGCTGTAACAACTGCACCAAGCACGCGTGTAGCTGGCTGGATGTGTCCTTGAGCTTCTCAGGAAGGTCTGTAGACAGCACCAAAACCCACAAAACATGAGGTTCCATGGGCACAGCAGCATCAGCCGTGTAGCAACCGCATGGATGTCCCTGACTGTTCCTCTAGCTTCCCACCACTGATGTCGTCAGTCATGATGAGGAGCATATGCAGCAGCGCTGCCAGCTGCTGCTGCTCCCGGCGCTGTTGAAGCCCTTGTTGTTGTTGTTGTAAGTGTTGCAAGTGTTGCATGTGCTGCAGAATCCCCTCCTGAATCCACTGCAGTACGCGCGTCTGGTCGGCAGCACAGGCCTTTCTGAACAGCCCAGTGAGCGCCTGCGGAACAGAAAACTCACTTCCAGCCTCCCCAGACTCAATCCCTAGAGTATATAAACCCCAACGCAACGTCAACACATTTGTTGGGTTCAGTCAAGAACCCAGCACACCAAAGACGACTTCGAGAGGTGGGTCCACACACCACTAACGAACTCAAGAGATTTGTCCAAGGCTACAGCAGTGCGGCCTCCCCTATACGCCGCTGTGCAGCTGTGTGGAATAAAGGTAGCCGCAGCAAGAGACCCTCGGCGTCGCTTGCCCGGAAGTTCAATTACCTCCTTGTAAGCACACAGTTGTTCGAGCTCTTCATCGTCTAAGCTGCTGTAAACGACCTGCTGCTGTTGTTGTTGCTGATACTGCTGCTCCGCAGCTTCCTTGAGCATATCGACCTCTGCCAGCTGCGACCACAACCAATACATAGCGCGTCAACAGCGTTCTCTATTAAACAACAGCGGAAAAAATAACACCAGAAGGCGAAGCACGAGTTGGCACTGGTCGCACAGGTTTCTGCTCACTCTTTTGATGAGCACTTGCAGCAGCTCCAGAAGAAAGCCCTGCAGGCGTGCAGTAGTAAGCGGCTGCACAAGAATGCTATCCTGTCTCTGTAGCATTGCTGCTCTTGTCAGCAGTACCGACAGAGCCGGTACCACTGCGCTGGAGACCTCTAGACCACCAGAGCCAAGCAGCTGAACTGACAGTGGCAGCACTGCCCACAAAGCCGTCAACCCCTGAGCCAGTGCAACACAACCAATCATGTCAACAAAGTCTCGACACAGTCCCCAATAAGCACAGCAGCGGCAGCAAATGGGGCCTCATCCAGATGTGAGCCTGCGGGGATTGTCTCTCGGCGGCTGTCGCTTGTCACTTACAATCAAATAGCTAAATACCCACCTGCTGCAGCACCTCCCTGGGGTTCCTATCTGCCACTAGAGTGTTATTGCTGCCCGCTGCCACAGGACCCAAGACGTCGCTTGCCCCAACTGCCTCCAGCTTCTCCGCTAGCGTTGCTGTGGCATCTGTCAAGGCTGCCGTTGCTGCGTTGACCATTGTGGCAAAAGGCACTATCATTGCGGGGGAGGCGGCAACCTCCGTAAGCGGAATTTCGTGCAAGAGCCACTCGATTAGCTGCACAAACAGCCCAACGAGACAGCAACCCACTGCACACAAAGCCCACCAGGCGCTGCTTCTCCCGCAGCCCACCGCACACTCCAGCAACCTGCCACACGCCAATGAAGCTGTTGTGCTTCCTGCTCACCTCCATGCGGCACAGGAGATCGATCCGCGCAGCAGGTTCCATCTTGCGATGTATAAACACTACAATTGCAGAAGCCGCGTCCGAGAAGCCTGTTGCCAACCATGTTGAACCCAAGAGCTGCAGCAAATTGGGGCTGCCGTTGCTGCTGCTGCTGCGAGCCTCCGCCTGTCCACCTGTCGGTGGCGCCGGCGGCAGCAGCAAGTCCATCCATCCCACATACTTCTCTGCCACTGAGCAGCACAGCTGCAGCACACTGCCTAAAGCGGGGCTATGTTTGTGCGCCAGCTGCAGCAGCCGTAGCAACTGCAGTAGCAGAGGAGAAAACGGCGGCGGGCAGCTGACAGCCACGCCTGCTGCAACTTCCTCATCGAACGGGAACGAGCTCTTGAGAGCTGCAGAGAGCTGCAGCAGCGCATGCAGCAGCACAGCACCTTTGGTGCAACGTTCCCACAAGAAGCTAGACAGGAAGCAGGAATCCCCAGTGGCTTCAACGAAAAAAAAAAATAGCTACACGCTCGACCAATGCGTAAAATGCACGTTTAAGTGGCAACAAACACAACAACACAACTTAACACCGCTTAAGCAGCAGACGAGTGGGAGTAGCTCATCAACAGCATCGCCATCCCTTCTCATCGCTACAAAGGGAGGTGCGAATCTTACAGCTGATGCCGGCAGATCCTCTAGGTATTCCTGGTGTAAGACCAGCAGTACTCGCAAAGCAACACGAACAGACTCAAGACTTGCTGCAAGGTTTCGGCCTGCTGCTACAGCGCAGGCAGGGTTTCTGCAGGCAATGCAACGGTCAGCAATGTCTGCTGCCGCTGCCGCCACACCATTCTCCGTCTCCTGCAGCTGCAAGCAAATTGCATTCAGTTCTTGGTGCAGCAATAGCCGCAAAGCCAAGAATGCCACTTTCCCTTCCGATGCTGCAGTTGATGAGGCTCCGCCTTCGCTGGCAATCTCTGCTGCCAGCAGCCGTGCCACCAACAGGGCGAGTTTGTTGTGCACGCCAGCAGCATCAGGGCTTGAGCCTGGGTCGGAAGCCGCGGCCGCAAGCTGCGCTGCAGGGTTATCCGCCCCCCCACTGCTGTTGCTGCTACTGTTACTGCTGCTGCAAGCCCACACGCTACACACTCGCAGCCGCATTACACTGAAGAGAATATCCTTGACCTGCTGCCTTTGCTCCTGCTGCTGCTGAGGCAACAGCTGCAACAGCTGTTGCAGAGCGAAAAATTTGGCCTCAAAAGAACAGCGTGACTGAAGCGCCGATAGCAGCATAAGGGCTCCGCTGCTACTATCGCAGACCGCTGCAGCGTATGAACCCCCAACAGTAACGCACATCGTGCAAACTACCGCAGTCCCAATCACAGCAGAACCACTGCCAGCATCAGTAACACCAGCGCAACAACAGATGATGCACCAGGGACAGCGTTGGCAGGAGAGCGATTTGCACAGCCAAGGGATGAGCACATAGAAGGGGCCATACTAAATATCCGCATGTAGGGAAATCGCTGGAAAAGAATTACGAGCGGAACCCACCTCTGAGATATTGTTCTGCCTCACACCTTGTGGCGGGGCTGACAGCTGTGTTGCCCTGAGAGAAGAGGGCACTCACGGCCCTGTCAAAGTCTTCCACCTGCATTGCGAAGCCAACCCAAATCCTTCCGCTGCTGGTGCCGCTGCTGCTCCTTGCTGCTTAGGCTTCTCTTGGTTGCCTTCATCCGGACAGCAGCGCTATATTCCCCCACACCCACAAAATCCCCTAGTCTGTTGCCTCTTGATCCGCATCGGACTGCACGTACACCAGCAGCGCTCTCCCACCAGAGCTGGTCCCCCTACCTCTACCTCCAGATGGATGTTGTTACGGGTTGTAGAGTGTCTTATTATGTGGAAAACAGCGCGTCTTCTAAATGATGTTGTCTCTGACTTGCCGCTAACGAAGCTACTGCCTACGAGAGTGCAAAAACAACTGGTGAAGGAAGTGAACAGTGAAACGTAAGCGGCAACTAGGCGAAATTGGGACAGCCGGAGGTGCCTGTGAGCAGCCTTCCCATTTCTCAGCAGTTGCACTCAATGGAAATATTGTTCATGCAGCTGGTTGGAAGTTGCAAGGCACCGCAAATGTGTACCAACCCAATTGCCGCCGCCGCCCCTGTTGCTGCCGGCGACGTTGCTCTTCCAGACACTGTTGTGGATTTGGATGCCCAATTCAGTGACTACGTCCCCTCCAGGCGGCATCTATCACCAAATACCGATGAGAGGAGCAAAGAGCCCCGCAACAGCCTCCCGTTATAAGGCGCCAGAGCCATAGCAAGCCTGGACTGCGTATCCAGCCCCAAAGGCAGCCCCAGGCAGCCCCACTTTGCATGCGCCGCTTTTTCGCGATGTTCACCCTCATGCTCTAAAGCAAGTGTCTGTCATCCTCTACAAAAGTTGGACGCCGAGGCGTCCTCTATATGGATCTGGGTGAGATCCTTAGGTGCCGGACTGCTTCTTGCACGTAGCGCGGTAGGTGTAGTGCACGGGCACTACATAGCCCACCGTTGCGGTAGCTTAACGAGTAAGGTAGATGGTGGATACTAAGAGATACTCGAGGTCTGAGGATAGCTAGCTTCAAGTATAGGAAGAATTCAGTAATATTCATTGGTCTATGAGTATATTAGAGGTGTAGCAGTTTATTAGGGGCTGGTGCTGAGCAGCAACACCCAACCGCTGAGCTATGCGCGCAGGCGCATAGAAGGTAAGTGGGCTGGTTAAGTTATGCATGGCTCTGTGTATTCAATTAGAGATGAATGTCTTATTAATTAGAATGAAATTGGCACATTCAGGAGCAGAGTTAGTCCGAAAGGGTCGGGCCATGCCTGCGGTCCGACCGTAGCCCCCCGTGCCGGGTTGAACGGCAGGGTGAAACCCGCACCTGGCGGGGACGAACAGACACCCATGATGAAAGGCGATTTGGATCTATCCTTCCTTCGGAAGTTCCGTAATTTAGGGATTTTGCCTGGGAATAACTGAGAGTTAAGGTATTAGGATGCTCATTCTGTAGACATAGCACCAAGGGACCTTAGGCCTATTAGCGGGTGATACGTAGCCACGGCAGACGGCCGCCGTACGTTACATTTGGGGGCCGTTCCGGGAAATGAAGAGAAAAAAGTTCACTTTCTTCCTTCCTTGTTTTATTCAGAACCCTAAGGATCTCTCTCTTTCGACGTTTGGCCCTTACGCATAGACCCCTCGTGGCAGACGTGACGAGGTGTGGCGAACGAGAACCCCACGAGGGAGAGACAAGGGTGTGGGGAGTGCCCCTGTGAAGATTCGGATTCTCCTCTACACACAGCGGGATATGATGTTTAGGAATCCAGAGTACAAAGGGGGAGCACCTCTTCCCGACTTCTCCCCACATACCCCGGACGATGGATCGAACAGGAAGAACCCTCAAGGGAAGATCAAGACGAAGGATATGTATGAATAGATGAGCAGAGTGTTTCTGGTCAGATGGATATATTGCGTATACAGCAACTCTGCGTTAACCATGCAGCTTTATTAGCTGGAACTGTGAATAGAAAGGGATGTTTGATACAAGGAAGCACATAGAAAATGCGGCGAAGTACAGGTCTGCTGTAGAGAGAGGATATCCTGAAGGGCTGGATGCGTTTGCTGCTCACAACCAAAGCAACACAGACGGTTCTGTGGCAGGCCTATCTTGCATCTTGAAGATGCATGGCAGGTGACTGAATTCATACGAGGATGCAGCAGAAGAAGCAGGAGTGCATCTGTCGAAGGCTTTAGACGAACTAGTCTCTGAGAGGGTTAGATTCTGGAAGAGCCATGAGCATCAAGCAACGAGTGACTTGAGAAAACAGTGGAGATTGCACCTGAACGGCGGTCCTTCGGCCTGGCAGGTCCGGTGCGCTGAACACTAATGGCAAGCGTGTGTTGCGGCGGCAGAGGATGCTAAGAAACAGGTAATGAGTAGGGGATATCGGATAGAGTGGCAGGAGACAAAGCTTAGGGACCGGCCATGGGTACCTTAGTGTTGTCAGAAGGCGCGAAAGAAACACTCTAGTGGGAGTTTAAGGTTAGAGACGGTTTGGACAGCTCGCTGTCCTCGCCAGATTTGATAGCAAAATAGTCATCTGCTTTTGCGAAACAGCGCGCTGATGCGTCCCGGCTGCAAGAGGAAATAAATATGCTGGCGGTGGTGTAAGGACTGGCAGATAACGCTGGAGAAACCAAGGAAGCTGCTTTACAGATGGCGGGCGGTACCAAGGTCCTACAGCAAGCGGAACACCAATCAGCAGGGGAACTGCAGGAGCAAGTGAAGCAGGCGACGGATGGGAATTCGTTAGTAGAAAGTACAACAATTGAGAGATCCGACGAACGCACCGCATATGAGCGAACACGGGTACTGTGCGAGGTAGCGACAGGACTTCGTTCCAGTATTCCGTAGACGGTGAACAAGACTGATGGGAGAATATAGGGCGTCTTGCAGGAGGCAAGGGGCGGCCCCATATTGAGTTATTAGAGAGACAGAAAGGGCGGAAGAGAGCCCGCCCATCCGACTGATGAGAGAATATAGGGTGCCTTGCAGGAGGCAAGGGGCAGCCCGACATTGGGTTTGGTAGAGAGACAGAAGGGGCGGAAAGAAGCCCGCCCATACGACCGACGAGAGAATATAGGGGGCCTTGCAGAAGGCAAGGGGCAGCCCGACATTGGGTTTAGTAGAGAGATAGACGGGGCGGAAGAGAGCCCGCCCATCCGACTGATGAGCGAATATAGGCCGCCGTGCGTTACACAGCCAGTCACCCATATCGGCGGTGTAAGCAATGCTTAGTCACTACCTGGGTATCAGTTAGGACTTTTAGAGGTCTAAATGGAAGAGAAACAGTATTACTATTTTATAGAAGAATTGTGACTGTGAATAGGACATTTATGTGGATAGCAACTTATAGCTCAGGCACATCAGTGTGTCGTCGTTGCTGATATCTCCCCGTCGCCTTTTAGGTCGGGCAGACCCCTAGCGAAGACCGGGCTCAGCTCCGAACCCAGAGCTTTAATTGTTCTGGGAACTTCCCTTCTTTACAATAGAGACTTGAATATGTTTTGGAACTTCAACTCGTATTAACTTCTGGTAATATGGGTAGTTAGAGGATGTAGTTAGGAAACCAGACGCTATGCGTAACCCACGGTGGCCGTCTACCGTGATTACGTATGACTCCCTAATAGGCCTGTGGCCTCTATGATGCGAGATCTACGGATTGCGTGTCAAAATAACACTAGGTTCCTGTTATTCCCGGGGATAATCCCTAAACTACGGAACTCCCTCCCCACTCGTCCGCCACGAGTGGCTCTCCCAGGCTTGGTCCCCGTAGTACCTGGACAACTCCGTGGTATGCCCAGGTCCCTCTGCCCGGCCAACAAATTTTTCTTCCCAATTCGGGGAGACCGGTATTCTGTTGGGCCCTGTAGCTATTCTGCACACGGCACCGCTACCGGATGCACCCTGCCTAGCCCGTTCGTCCCCCACGACGGCTAGGCGTTCTCGTTTAAGCGGCGAGATGGGATCAGCCGGGGACGAGTCGGTTGATGCTCAAGCTTCGTAGTTGGACCCTCCGGCCCGTTTACGACTACTGTGGTAAATGGAGCTCCGCTGATGCTGTATAGAGAGCACATGCTGTGTACGCAACAGCCGGTGTATAGACAGATGGTGTTCTGCGGGCCGCTGCAGTTGGTCTGTAGACGGTTAGGCGCCTGCTTGGTTCGTTTGTTTGGGCTTTCTATGTTGGACCTATGTGCGTTTAATGGACGTTGAAGTTACGCATATTTTTTCCTCGCACTTTGCGGAAGTCCTTGAGTTCATATCTTTGAATTCAACACAACATATTGAAGCCAGTTTGCCCTTGGCCAAGCGTTTGGTTTCGTTATCTACGGAACTTACAGGAAGCGCGGTATTTCTAATGTGGGCTGCACTGGACACAGGAATTTGTTGACATGGCGTCACCGCAGGTGTTCCGCCACCAGCAGATAGCACCAGCCAACTGAGGCCGGCCAGTGCGTATCGTCGTGGCAGGAGGCCCAGGCAGTTTGCTGCGGGTAAGCAGTTTCAGTGTACCAGCCGCATACACAGCGGTACGGCAGCGTTAGCATCTGCATCACGTTGACAGCGAAAAGAACACAGATGGTGATACAGGCCTACTGTCGTTAAGCAGCCACAGGCCGGACGGTTTGAGGCTTCCGCTCGCTTCCTGTGCAGACAAGCAGACACGGGGAAGAAATGATCAATCTGTTGAGGTGGAAGAGTTAAGCTAAGGAGGGAGCATACATACATATAGGCAGTATTACAACAACGGTTCTGCGTACGCCTTCAAACATTCAGTGGTTATACTCACACGAACGCCTTCTGCTAGGAGTTGGATATGCAAACCGGCGCCGGGGTCAAGGCCATCCTCCTGTTAAAACAGGTTCCAATAAGCGTGTCTATTCTCGCCCTTCACGCACACCGCCGTATCAGTTTGCGTGCCCGGTCTTCCATCTGCGAAGCGCACCCTCAATGATTGCTTTAATGTATGGACACTGCATCTATCAGTCGTAGCTCCCGATATAATATCCACTTCCATGCCAGTGGTGAGTAGCCTTAGGAACCTGTGAATACAACCGAGCAAAGTCACAGAGGTGGCCTGAAATGGGACTGCAACTACGGCTGTTCCTCTTTCGGTCGCTTCGCTGAGCCCCACTTTGGTTGAGGGAATCATAAATTCTCAGACCGCTTTGCTAGCTCACCGGACGGCCTTGCTAAAAATACTGCTTCTGCTGGCATTTAGCTCCTTTCATTGTATCTGCATTGTTGGCTTGTCCGACATCTATTGCAAAAAAAACAGCAGACACTTCGTTCCCCGTGCCCATCCAAATGTATGACTGCCGAGTTCCCCTGTTGTTGGCAGTTTTCGCTCTGGATCATTTTTTGGCTGGGAGTGGCATTTAAAGTCCCACCTTCCATAGGATCAGTGTGTGGGTTATTTCCAAACTCGCTCCCTTCCACCTTAGGTAGGGCAGAAGAAGGGGCACTGTATCTCCTTGATGCGTGAGGATTCCATCATCTCTACAGAGTAAGCCATTTCACTTCTTTGTTCCTTCGCCAAAGCCCAGCCAGTTACTCCAGGATGTGGCACTGCTATGACCCATCCGTATAAGAGTTGCGAGTCCCCTGTCGGACTTCTGTCTCCACGCCAGTGATACTTCTCGATCTAACGCACTGTCGATACCTTCGTTGCCTAAACTCTGCGTGCCATTGCGTGTTCGCTCGTCGTCTGCGGAATATATATAGTTCAGATTACAGCTTGGAAAGCTTCTTTTGATGGCCAAGCGTTTGAATAGTAATGCCGTTGCTTAGATCTAGCCGGTCTCATGACGAACAAGAAGAAAGAAAGGTACTTCTGGAGTTTGGTTGAGGCTAAAATAACGCTCCAGAAGGGCAAGACACTCCCCCACTGTCCCATAATTTAGCAGTGCAAACAGTCATATCTGGAATGTCAATAAAGATGCAGACATTCTTCATGAATTGGCTTTCCTTTTGGAAATGCATCGGATGCGCATGCATCATCTCGACGAGGCTCCCTTCCAACCCATTAGAGGGTAGATCTTGATTAACCACTGTGCGGGAGGAGTGAAAGCCTGATATTTGAAGAAGGTGTTAGGAGAGGACTAAAAAGGGCTGCTCACAAGTATACATATATTCCCAAGCGCATTCGACACTACTCACTGTTGGGAGCATGGAGCCCTGCTTGGTGGATGAAGTTCATTGATTGCAAAGGCTACCATGAATCACGCTCTGCAACCAAGTATAATGCGCCTCTTTTATCTTTTTCAGGGAATATTCGCAGCTGTAGAGGAGTTATGATAATTAAGATGGGAGTTCCTGAACAGCAGCCGAAGTGCCTACCAAGCCTCTAGCCGTCCTTCGCAGAGCTTCCCAGGCGCATGTATCTGCAAGGAAGCAGGCAGAGTAGTATACGTTGAGATACAGCTTGCTGTAACTAAAGTTTCACGACAGCCCCACATGCAAGCACAAGCTGTACAAACAAGACTCCTCCGGTCCATGCGCTAGCCCTGTGTACAACTGCTAAAGTCTTCTGCTTGGTTGTCGTTTACCAACTAAGGCCTACTTAGGGTTCCTGTATCAACTTCAAACGGGCTTCCCCACGTCGAGCAGACAATGCAACACAGACTGCGCTGCAGCGGCAGCAACTGGTTGAACTGACCCGGCTACGCAATGCAACAAACCTCACAAATCGCTGGTTCATACTTCACGCCACTGTATTTATATTTAATTTCTAGAATTGAGTCAACTACTTTACGACTTATCTGGGAATTCTCATCCCTGATGCCCTCTACCCTTGAGAGGGGAGGGTAATGCCGGTGACTAGTTGGGCAGATTCACAATCCTTCATTTTTTAATACTCGTATTTCGTCAATAAGTACTATCGTTTAAATCGCCCTGATGTTTAGATTCAATAAAATGCTATGAGGGGCAGCGTTCGGTGGCTGCGCTGCTGACGGCTGCATGTGCGCCGAGTCGGCTGCAGGGGAGGAGTGTGTGATCTGCATGCTAATCGAGGCCACTTCTTTAATATCTATGATTTGATTATGTTGCTTTCTGCCTCGATGAAATCCCTAACTCTAGCTTATTAGCTTGAGGACCGCAGTAAGCGTTTGGTCTCTGGAGGCAGACAAGGCAGCCCCTGAGTTGAAACGAGTTGTTGAGGCGCGTGACAGGCTTCCGGTCCTTTCTATATCACCAGCACATTGCAAGGAAGATATATCGGATCCAGCTGAGGGTTTGTGTGGTTGCCCCCGCTTGGGGGAGGTTTGCTCTTAGAGTAGGTTTGCTGCTGGCTGGGGGCGTTCCGAAGGTTTTTCTTTCACCGTGCGATTGAGGGGACGGTGAGGAGATGCTCAACGACATCAAAAAATTCGGTACTTCGGCGTGGAGGGAGATCCAACACTTCTTCAGAAGGCCTCGGGATGCTGTCCTCACGGTCCTGGGTCTCTGTTGCATTATCCTCTCAGGTGACTGCCCCCTCATAGAAAGAACACGCAATGTTCCCGCCAATTCAAATATTTCTTTCTCAGGAAATAAGAAAAGATGTGCTGCAGCGTAGCCCTTTAAGGTTCACAAACAAATTTTTTAATTTGTCGTGAGCTCCTGAGCTGTGTAAATTTTACCTTTTGCATGCCAATCCCACGCGTGCACGGAACTGCATGCATACAGCCGTATGTGGTTTGACTGTGCAGCCTTGATGCTTTGGAAGGTGCTGGTGTTGGCTGCGGGGAGTCCTTCGCCTGTGGTGGTGGTGCTGAGCGGCTCCATGTTGCCTGCTTTCAGCAGGGGTGATATACTCTTTCTGCTGGACCAAGGGCCCAAGACGGCGGTTGGCGATATTGTGGTCTTCAAGGTGAGGAATACACTCGAGTGAGGGCACCAGGGGAAGCCTTGCTCCCTTCATGATCGAGGGCACTTCGTAACTGTTTATTGTACCAATAGGGGGGCGAACCCGGGAGGAAATTCAGGATCGTTTGGGTTAGATGACCAAGCAATGTTGTGGACTTGTCTTGGGACCTTTCAGGTTGAAGGGAGAGAGATTCCAATTGTACACCGCATACTGAATATGCACACAAACAGCGCGGGCGAAATGAGGCTGTTGACAAAGGGGGACAACAACTCCGTGGATGACAGGGGCCTGTATGCTAGTACGTCTTAACTTTTTCAGCTACTGTGTTCGTTTGGGCGCTGGTCTGTTTTTCGTTTCCTCGTCTGTCTCTGTTGCACTTTAGTTAGGCTGCAGCGTTGCGCAAAAGCCAAACGATCTCACGGAGACAATGCATTAAATCCATTGCGTTTTTCGTACATCTGATTGGCACACCGTCTCTGCTTTCAGACAAGGATTTATGGCTGAAGGACTCGAGCATCATGGGGACTACCGTAGTGTATCTTCCGTACGTAGGACAGGTGACGATCCTCCTGAACGATTACCCCGTAGTCAAGTGGACGCTTATAGGAGGAATGATCGCGCTTGCTTTGCTAGGGTACGAATAACAAGCGATCGTTGCCTGCGACGATTTCCCTTTGAGGGGATCTACGCAGAATAGGCTGCTGCCACTGCCATGCCTTTCTGAGGAGTTAGTGCGAGGGATGGCATGTGTAGCAGCTGTGGCTGACGCGGGCCTCGAAGAAAGTGAATTGCAGTTGCGAGTAAATTGCAGAGTAAACTGCAATTTACTCGCAGCTGCACTTCACTTTCTTCAACCCCCAACTAACGTTCATCGCATGCATTCTATATGTGCTGCCGCCGGGGGCCACCAATAATTTAGCCTAACGTGGCCAACGGAAATAAGCTTAGATTACTGCGGCCTTGCAAGATAACTCTTCAACTACAGCGCAGTTAGGCCTGCTGTTGTCGAATCCTTTCCCATTAAATGCAGCGCCCTGTGGTGTGTGCTTGTGGGGGGTTGGGGGGTTTGGGGGGGAGAAAGGTGGGGG